CTACAGGTTTAGCTCTACCCCATGATAATAATAATTTGAATCTTCTTAGTGAAAATGCAATTTGGTTTGTCAGTATTTAATGTGATTCATGGCTTGCTGAACACATTGTGATTACAGTATTTGGCTCATTTCTTAGTTATCAGTTTATGTTCCATCTTCTAAGCAAGAGTGTAATAATGGAGGTGGTTTTTGCCCTGGATTTTGCTTACGAGAAACTAATTTTTTTATTTGTTTCAAGTTTATTAACCCTTTCAGGGTTTCGGCCATACTAGTACGGCTTACGCACCAGGGTTTTTGACGTACTAGTACGCCTAAATTCTAGCGCCCTCAAATCTAGTGAGAGAAAGCTGGTAGGCCTACATATGAAAGAATGGGTCTATGTGGTCAGTGTGCACAGTATAAAAAAAATCCTGCAGCACACAGTGCATAATGATAAAAAAAAAACTTTGACCGTGTTTTTGGATTAAAACAGTGACTTTGCACTGTATTTTCGTATGGTATTTATTATTGTATTCTAGCTTTCCTGGTCTCATTTTATAGAATGGAAGACATATTACAGAAATTGAGATGATTTTGATTGTTTTACAATGAAAAGTACCTTGAAAATGAGCTCAAAGTAGCAGAAATGTTCGATTTTTACCAAAGTTCAAAAGTAAACAAATCATGCTAAGCGTCCAATACACGTCAACTGGTGAGTCTAATATTCTTTCACAAGTGCGCCGATATTATTTATACTATTTCTACACTAATGCAGTCTGCATAACAGTAAATCTTCTATTTTTTGTGAGAAAAAAATTCAAAGTGGAAAGCAAAAGAATGTAAGAGGGGGATGGGGACGTGACTAATGAACAGAGGAAATGTTATTTTAGTGCCAGGAATGTCTTTCTTGTTTATTCTGGACCCTATTTGGAAATTGGCATCTTTTGAAATTTGTGTGAAACTGGCAAAATTGATAAATTCTGACCACTGTATTGGATAGTTGGAATCAGTAAATGGGTGGTTTCTTGTACTCATTCGATAGAAAAAATGGAGTTCTAGCAAAATAGTTATGATTTTTGTCGACTGGTACACTGGAATTTGCCGAAAATAGGGCTCAAAGTGGGCAAAATCACCGATGCGTAAACATTGTCGAGACCGCTAACTTCGTGAGAGCATAATTCTGTAAGTTTTCCATCAAATTTCATACTTTTGGTGTCATTATGATCGGGAAAAGATTCTCTATCTTTTCACAAGAAAAAAATAATTTTTTTTTTTTTGAAAATTTGGGGACCCTGAGAACAAGTCTCGGAGAGGGTCTGGTGACCCTGAAAGGGTTAATGGCTTTTTGCTCCCTCTGTCTTTCCTGGACTTTATGCATTTGGTTTCATATCAATGTTTTCCATTTCTCTCAACCTGTATTTCACTTTGCTCTTGAGAAAGTGTTAAACCTTTGACAAGTTCAGTGATTCTTCCTCTTTGCCTATAGAGGGAAGCATATCGTTTTAACTTGCATTTTCTCTAATTATTCATTTATACCATTAAGTCTGGAACACACTACTAAAGCTGCTATTAACCCAAAAACAAAAGTCAGTTCCTCAAAAAACATCTTTGGCAAAATGAGGGAACAGGCCCCAGAGGTCAAGAAGTGACATTGCCAAATGGTGTCATATATATTTCTAAGGCTGAGGTTAAAAGGTATTACAAATAATTGCATTTGAATCAAGACAGTAAAGTCTGATGAAATTTCCCCACCTACATCTACACTAATGAGGATACTGACAAGTCCATGTTTCTAAGAAACAGATATGGTTGAAAACCATAATGCTTCACAAAATTGCAAAAGAGAGGGCAAGAGTGATGGATTTGTAATGGGATGGGTCATGCCTGAAGATACTGGATTTCTGTAAGAGGAGAACTAATGTAGTTCTCCACTGAAAGGGTAAAATATTGTTAGACTACACTTGACTGACAAGCTTGGGAAACCCCAGCTAATGCAGCAAGAGCACCAACAAAATCTGCAATTGTAACAAAGATGATAACTCAAAGGAAAAACATTAAATTGTAAATGTGTCTAAATTCAGAATACAGTTTCTTGCAAATAAAATATTTGTGAAATTTGTATAAAGGATTTGGTTCAAACACTTTTTTTTTTTTTTAACAAGTCGGCCGTCTCCCACCGAGGCAGGGTGACCCAAAAAGAAAGAAAATCCCCAAAAAGAAAATACTTTCATCATCATTCAACACTTTCACCTCACTCACACATAATCACTGTTTTTGCAGAGGTGCTCAGAATACAACAGTTTAGAAGCATATACGTATAAAGATACACAACATATCCTTCCAAACTGCCAATATCCCAAACCCCTCCTTTAAAGTGCAGTCATTGTACTTCCCATTTCCAGGACTCATGTCCGGCTATATAAAAATAACCGTTTTCCCTGAATCCCTTCACTAAATATTACCTTGCTCACACTCCAACAGGTCGTCAGGTCCCAAATACCATTTCTTTTAAAATTAACTCCTATCTAATACGCTCATGCACGCTTGCTGGAAGTCAAACACATTAGTACAAATTCAGATAATGCTGGTTTAGCAACAGAATTTTAGATGACTGAAAGAAAATTAAACAGTAAGACTAATGCAAATGCTCCGAGTGACTTTAATGGTCATATTTGACTAGAATCTGCCTCCTACGAACCAGTAGACCTTGTGTGACACTTCAGTTACATTCGTTAGTGCAAATTCACTGATTTTCTGATCAAATGCATTTATTGTCTGCATATGGTTGTTTGGTACATGTGTGCAGTGGGCTTGTATTTTTTAAGAGAGTCAAGATTTTGAATTTTGATGACTATGCTGACTATGATTATCCTGAAAGATAGCTAGGAATGAGTGATGGTGAATGCATTTGCCTCCTTTGGGTCAACCTTTCTTAGTGAGAAAGAGCAGTGCTTAAAAAAAATTAGTACATGACCGTTGGGTGCAAGTATAGAATACTGGTACTCATAAGTTTTTGCTACAAATTGATGAGAATGTATTTTTAATTTTGACACGGTCATTTCTGGATCACAATCAAATAAAAAACAAGCAAGCCTTCCAAAGAGGCTCATGTCTCAAACATTTTGATTTTCTTAAGTTGCATCATGTATCCTTACTTATATATAGCAGATCCAAAGCACAGTACCTATTGTCAGTCCTGTTGAATATGGTCCAAAATCAGTTATACTGTAATTTCCAATTTACTTATGCCCGTTGCAAACTTACATTAACTGGCATTTAGAACTGGATATACAATAGCATTTGCAGGTATCAAGTGCCAATAATTCTATGGAGCCTGGGGTTGTGACGAGTGGCTGTATAATCTTACCGACTTCTTACAATATCAAACAAGAACAATTTCACACAGTAAAACTTTTCATAATGTGGGGGATACTGTCCAGAAAATTAGTGCCTTATGAAAAATAAGTTATGAAAAGTGAAGAAAATATAGAAAAAAACAGGATAACATTAGACCCCCAAATTTGCCAACATTTTTCTCTATTTTACATTGTAAAACTATTATATTTTATGTTGTAAAATATAAGTTTATCTTGCCTTACATTCTAATTGTCAATACATATTGATATGGTGTGTGGAGAAGGTTGATGTGGCCCTATTGAGCCAAAACACAAATAACCCGCACATAAAAGAGAGAAGCTTACGACGACGTTTCGGTCCGACTTGGACCATTGACAAAGTCACACTGTGACTTTGTCAATGGTCCAAGTCAGACCGAAACGTCGTCGTAAGCTTCTCTCTTTTATGTGTGGGTTATTTGTGTATTGTTCCAGTCACGGTATTGTGCCTTTTTGTTATTTATCTATTGAGCCAAGTTCGATATAGTGAAGTTTATCAACAATACTAGATAAGCACTTAAACATCATAAAAATATTAGCCGCATATCCTTACATAATTATAGCAAACATATAGTAGCTATTGCAATAAAATGGTGTGGGAAATGGTTGTTGCTGCTTTTTAAATGATATGACAGCTTGTGCCATATGAGCCCTACTTTCAGTGATGTGGGGAGATTGTGCCCAAAAATCTGGAGTCGACACAACTCAATACGTACATCTTGTCATGGCTGTGCCATGAATATTCTCTACTAATTTTTTTCTTATAAATGTTTTATACAACTGACTGTGCATGTGTATTCATTATGTATGTTAGTGGTTTTAGGGATCACCACCTCCTGGTCTCATACCAAGCCATCTCAAGTGGAAAGGAAATAAGAAAAATGGTAAAGTAAAATTTACTGTATATTGAATGTACAAAACTTTTAAGAGTTGTCTGCTATCATACATGTTTATGAAGCAAACTAGCAGCAATGATAGTGTGACAGCAGCTAGTCATTTAGTGTTGCCTGGAGGTGAAAGCACCTTAAGTATGAATCCACTGTTTGGTGGTATAGTGGCAGCTGTATATTATTATTATTATTATTATAATCATGGGAGAGAACTAAACCCAGCAACTGTATAACACTATGATATCTATCACAATGCAAAATTAGAACATGATTTTGTGTATTTAAGTAAAATATACGTGTACTGTACCGTACTATAATACATCATACCTTTGAAGAGTTTTTGGAATTTTCCTACTCCCACAACCTTGCCTGGGCCAGGCTTGTTATACTGCTAAATAGTATTGCTTAGACAGAATTATGTCACTGATTTCTGAAAATATTTTATGCTTTTGACCATCAAGTAATACAACATACCACAGACTGAGTAGAAGACTGTACAGTGGAATCTCGGTACTCGAACTTAATTCATTCCAGAAGGCTGCTCGAGTGCTGATCTGTTCGAGTACCAAACAAGTTTTTCCCAACCAATTTTCTTTTTGGTTGACTGTTATCGCTAATCTTCATAGGCTCCATGGTGACTTAGTTATACAAATAATATAAAGAAACACCAAAAAATGCAAAGAGACACGAAATAGTTTACAGCGAAGTTCTGGCATGTCATGTTTGCTTGGCAGAGTGCCGAGCAAACGGTCGACTACCGAGCGATTTACCAAAAAAAAGTTTTCGAATACCGAACTGTTCAAGTAGAGAGCTGTTCAAGTACCGAGGTTCCACTGTATATATTCTTACTTGTACTCGACAGATCCAAGCAGCACAACCCATGGTACATAGGTCACAGCAGCATCCCCATAACACATATTCCAGAGCATATACTTACCAGTGCACACATATACCAGAGCATACAAGTATTAGCACATACATTCCACCACAGGTGTGTCAGCCTCAAGTGAAACATATAGCTTTGGTACTCATTTCAACTGTATACTACTATCTTTTTCATTGTGAAATAAAACAATCCAGTTTTAATTATATTTTAACTCATGAAGAGCATAACTATATTTTTATATTCTTTTCAGAAAATGTATATGTGGTTGCATAGTTAATATACATGAAGTAGATTGCCCCAAAAAACTCTGTTAACATTACCAAAATAAAAATGTTCTTCAGGGCCACCATAATATGAACCATACCTGTGACCTGTTTCAAAGTTTTTTGATCCTCACAGTCTGGCCTGAGGCCAGGCTCCTCAAAAGACTGCCTGGTCTACCAGGTTGTTTGTGCTAGCAGCATGCAGGCCCACACAGCCATTATAGCCCAGTTGATTCAATGATGTCTGGCCATACTTATAGCCAGTTTAAAGGGTTCTTCTATCCCTGCCTGAGACTTAACCTCCATGTGCAAACTCAGAGAAATAATAATGTAACTCCTCCCATTTCTGGGACTGCATAAATACAAAAAGACTATTTCAAAAACATCCTAATCCAATATGTTTGAATTAGAGGTCCTGTATGGTAACTTCATTTCTGTAAAAAGAAAATCTATTTTGAAATGGTCCTGACCCCCAGTGCTTTCCTTTAGAGGTTTTGAATTGTACATTCACACTTTTTCTGCTAATTTATAAAACTAGGTGTCATTAACTTACTGATATATTACATAAGAATTAACCTGGATCATAAAACTGTGATTCAATTTCCCTAAGATCTAGACTGTTTAGCAACAGGTCAAATTTTTTAATATGTCAACATGTAGGGTCATTTAAGCTTTCCTGATTCCATTAATATTTAGTATCTCTACCATGCATCTCACTAAACAATTTTTTTTAAACTCTGATTACAGTATATCCGTTTATAATTTAAGCCTTAAAAGCAAGAGAGATCCAGAGTTTTAGTTAAATGTTGAGGATACCTCTTATTATTTCATTATTTATCTTGTATTTCTTGCAACTGAATATCGAATGTAGTTCTACTTTTCTCTTTATTTTTCCTATACATATGATTTTTGGGCAGTTATTCTCTTTAAGGTATACTTAAAAACTGCACATAACAATATTTATATGAAGACTTCAATAAAGCCTCAACTACTACTGGTACTTTCATTTTCCCATATTAATTATTAAACTTCTTACAAGGCAAGATCTTATCTAATTATTATAGCTGATCAACTGTGTGCCATATCATGGATGCTGGAATGCCAAAACATACCTTTTGTACAATTGCCTCCATCTGCATCTTCAAGAATTAATTGTGTGTTAATTCAACAATTTATTATGTAAGGCAAGAGTAATATGATCAAATGAAGCGCTAAACCCAGAAGGGTTAATGTACAGCAATAAACTTGTATTATTCACATATGACAAAATGCAGCTACATGAATCTTATGATCTTATACTAAGCTTCACCTATACTGCAATAGGCTAGAAAAACTCTCAATAATCATTTACAATGGTACATTTCAGCCAAGTAATAAACATACATAGGAATTTTCTTGTTGCTGGTGTTGTTGTTGTTGCTGCTGCTGCTGCTGTTGTTGCTGTTGTAGTTGTTGTTGCTGCTGCTGCTCCTGATGCTGCTGATGATGAGGATGATGGTGTTGTTGATGCTGATGTTGATGATGTTGCATTTGTTGATGCTGTAGATGCTGATGGTGTTGTTGAGAACTAGGATCCAACCAGATAGGACTAGTCTGTGTCCCATCCCCTCTTGGCCCGTATTGTGGGACCTGGACACAATACGGGCCATATGGACCTCCGGGTGGGCCACCATAGTGAGCCATTCCTCCCATGTGTCCATAACCTATAACAAATTAAGGTATGTAAATTGCTTATTTATTTATGTACTGCACATGGAAAAAATTTATTAATTAATTCAAAGCCTGATCTGTACTTGTATACAGATTATAATTTATCCTGAAAATAAGTATAGTTATGGTAAACCTGTGATCAGCATGGTTTTTGTTTTCCATTTTTATTACAATTTCTTTATTGTTAGACTATATAACTGGTTAGCCTTGACAGGCCTTACAGTAGGCATGAAATTTCTGTGCCATAAGGACATGCAAAATTGAAACTTCAGTAAATCCTCGATATAATGAACCTTGTTCAATATACAGTATATTCCATCTTATGTTTGTAATAGTATTTTTCTGGCCTATGCCTGAAAGATACCTGAAAGGATGCTTCCAGGGGTCAATGCTTCTGCAGCCTGGTTCCAGATCAGGCCTCCTGATGAATCAAGGCCTGATAATCCAGGCTGTTACTGCTGAACTCGCACAGTCCAACAAACAAACTAAAACATGGCTGGTCAGCAAGGTACTGAAAAGTCAGGGACCTCTGACATTTGTCAGGTGTACTCGTTACACCCCAGCTTTGCAATGGAGGCACCCTGCACCATCTGTGAAGTCTCTCATCTTCACATAGAGTGATTTCACTGTGCAGGCTTAGGACCAGCCCGTCTACGATTGTCCCAGCATAAATTATGAAGTACACCTCTTTTTGCCTACATTCCAAGGAGTACAAGAGTATAGTGAATTTTTAGCTGAAATATCTAAAATTTGTAGTACAGGAGAACCCTGCATATAGAGCACCCACTTTTTGGTGTTCCACATTTTTGTTGGCTTTCAACTGAGCCATTGTTCATTATGTTTGGTGTTTTTACCATTTCTTCTTTTTTTTTTTTGACCATTTTTGTACAACAGTTGTGTAAGGGAAGAGTGACCAGCACCATATTTTAAGGTAAGTATTATATGTACTGTGTATGCATTTTACTTTTTTAATGCCTAGCTGTAATGAGCACTTAACATATGATAGAGTCAACATGCTATCAGGTGTTGTAGATGGATCTGATAATGAAAAAACACACTTTTTCCACCCCACAGCGATTTTCACTTACCGCACAGAGTCGTGAACTGAAGAGCAGTACAAACGAGGCCCTTCTGTACACATGAAAATGTTTAGGTTATCATAAAATAAAGTGATTAAAACTTGTAGGGTGCATAAATCTGTAGTGGAGGGAAGGCTGGTTAGGGATCACCCTAGGAAAGGTTAAAGGAAAGGGATAAAGGAGGATTTGTATGCGAAATTCTTGGACATCCAGCAGGTACATTTGAGCATGTTAGACAGTGATTGAACGTCATGGTTCTGTTGGACTTGAACAAGGTAACATTTATAAAGGGATTCGCAGAAACCAGTTACCTGGAATTGAGACCTGGAGGTAGCTGTATGTTGTGTAACAACTCATAGTTGTATTTTAGTAAGTCAGTGAACCTGCAGCCTGTATAAGTAGCTTACATCAATGATTGGAAAACCCTGTCTTTACTGAATACCTGCTATTTCCATTTTGGAATTTTCTATAATTGAACCCCCATCATGAAGTATCCTGATTCAGAGGTATTTTGTATAAATTAAAGAATAGAAACTTACATGACATAAAGGTCTCATGTAATGGCAAACACCATTAGAAAAATAGGCTAGGATATCTTACAATGATACACTATACAGTACAAGATCCCAAAGTGTGGGCACAGTTACTAGCACTGATGACATTTTGGAGGATATGACTAACTGCAGTATTATATTTAACAATTTTTCAAGTATATAACACTAGATTTTACTTAGAAATGCTAAGACAGTTGATCAAACATTATGAAGTCATAGTGAAGTACAATACTATAATATGGAATAATAATAATAATTACTATTATGATTACAGTAATATTATTTACTATAATTATTATTATACTCAGAGGTGAAGTGTAAAACCCTTAAAGATCATACAGAGCACAAGGAATGGGGTATTCAGGGTCTATCTGAGAAAAAGGAGGACCAGACCAGTTTCTTGGCTCAAGAGCACCCCTCACTAGCATCAAGAATGCACAGGCAATTTGTGCAAAATGCTGTCCAACAACAGATTCAAAATAGTTTACCTTGCATATTTTGCTGTGGATGTCCCATGTGTGCAGGTCCAGCTTGGTCCAGCAAGTGAGGCCTGGGTAGTACTGCTTCAGTGAGAGGATCAACAGTTTCTATATCAACATCCAAGTTTTCATCTTCTTTCAGCTCTACTTCTGGCACTAGTGCATCACTGCGAGGTGCTGAAGAACTGGCATGGCTGCTTCCACTGCTCTCACTATCACTACCACCCTCACTGCCGTCACTGTCACTTTCGCTATTATCCTTGCTATGACTTGCTTTTTCACCAGTTTTACTTTTCTTGGATTTAACAACAGGCTCACTAACTTCCCGTTTTATTTTAACAATACTCTCTGAGCTATCTGGTTTACCAAACTTGCTTTGAATAAAAATGTTCATTGCTTCAAATCTATTTCCTTTAGCAATCAAGTCTTTTATATGCTGTGCATCAACTCCTGCCATTGCTGCTTAGTATTTGGGTGCTTTTTTTATTATAAAAATATTATTTTCTTTAAATGTCTAAAAGATATCTGAAAGTAAATTAAACTTAATAAAATACTTGTACATGGTGACAATATCTGATATATAAAAAAAAAACATGTTAATAAAGCTTTTACAAAAATATCTTTAAACTATTTTTATCCAAACAGTAGTTTCTTTAGAAAATATTTAATACATGTTACCCATGAAAAGAGGATGAACTTACCAATATAGTTCGTGTACAGTGTTAAGATTTGTATACCCAGTAAATAAAGGAAAGGTACTGCAACTTAATATATAAAAAAGATCAAATGAAAAGTAACTACAGCACCCAAATATTTTGCAAGTTATTACCGTATCCTTAAATTTGTGAGGAAACATTAAAAAAAAAGGGGGGGTTATACAGCATCTGGGGAATGGGAGACAGACTAATCAGGTTTGATAAGAAAAAGGGGAGGGTAGCTCTAATTCCTTGGATCCAGAGTCCTTCACCAGCACCAATGCACCTCCCTTAAATAAATACATGCACAAATTTGATTATTAAATACAAAGTATTATTACAGTTTTAGGAATTACATAGTATTTACAAAGGAAAATTTTTGGGGGGGAAAGGCTCTTGTTATGTAAAGCATTTTGGACAGACTAAAACTAGTATGCACTTACAACTACAGTATTTAATACCAGTACAGTAAAAATATGAAGATAATGTCTATCAAATGGAATAGAAATTTTACGAGACAATTCACCATATACAGCTTCTGTATATAGGTCAGGTACAATAGTTTCAACACGATCACGTGGCGAAACGGCAGTTTACTAAGCTAGTGGAAAAAGGCATTCTAGGCATTTATCATCATATGTAAAATATTATGTATATTAAATTAATCAAATCATACATTACATAAAGTACAAGCAATGTTTTTGAAGCTACTGGAAGATTGCTATCTTGTTACAAATTTTGAATCCTTTGATTTGCATAGTGTGAGTACTCAGGCTGAGTTGTAAATGTGTAATATCAAAAGATATTTATCCCTAGTGTTATGCCTATGAGATTTGCTGCAGCTCTCTGGGAATTGTTTTAGCTTAGTTAATATATGTATTCAGTGTCCTGTATATATAATATGCAGAGTAGTATGTGTACGGACACTTTGTATGTTAAGTTAAATCTCTGAACAGTAGAGAGGTGTGATGTCTGAACTCTTGAGTGATTGTTCTAACAGCAGATGTGTGGACAAGGACATAACAGGATATTTTTGTTGGAACTTTACCATCTGATAAATATACCAAAAACAATGTTTTATCTCAACTAGCACACTAGATTAAAATGTCACATCACATTATTATCAAATACATTAGGTACTAGAATACATGCTCTATAAATACTGTAAATAAGGTTTTATTTCCAAAAACGTACACAATTGTTATAAAAGTAAGTGACATTTATTACATACATTATGAAAACCTGGTTAATTTGGTTAATTAAACAGAGCATTTCGGGGGAAGACTAAAACAAGAATTTAAAGCCATTTGATATTGTATCGCTATAATTTATGATTGAAGTTAGATTATTTGAATGCTAAGCTTAATATAATTCAGTTGTCTGAAGGTAAGATTATCAAATGTAATGATTATTTAAGCTAATAAAACACTGTACTATCAAGAATAGCAATGTTAATATGAAGTGCTAGTATCTAATATAAAACTATAATGACAATTTTAGTTACTGTATAATAATTATTGGGGGTAAAAACATAGTGGTTACAATAAGTGTACAAGTATGAATAATATTTGGAATCTGGGTAAGCAGGCTGATTACAGTTTATTAAATGTTAGACTTACATAAATTTTACATCAGATTCAGGTGTCTTCCTAACTATAGCTTTGAAGCAGTTGGTAAATAGGAACTTTGTATTTGCTGGTAGTGTTATCCATATTTTTGAACCTGTTATTCTGCATGGAGTTTATGCTCAAGTTAAATACATGAGATATCAGAGTGATACTTATTTGTTTCTCATATTGTGCTTCTTAATTCAGTTGCAGCTCTCCAAGAAGAGTTTCAGCACAATGTTACTATTTATATTAAGTGTCCTGTATATATAGTAAGCTCAGTAGTAAGTGTGGTTGTTGTGTATGCTGAGTAAATTTAAACTTTTGAATAGTGGGGGAGACAGGAAAGTTTCTGGATTCTGTTATCAGTAATGGTTCTGGAAATTTTCTTCCCCACTGCCCAGTCTCAGATTAGATATAAACTGGAAAGGAAATATAGGAATAAGAACTATTAAGATACACATAGGAAAGTGTGCATCTTACAGATTTAAATGTCATGTTATGTGTTTATAAAAAAAAAAAAAGATCAGCAATCCTGCCAATGCAAAAAAATTAACATGTTTCATTTCAAATATATCTGACAGGAGGGTAATACTTTTCTGGATGGTTGCTATAAACCTACTACCCTGACTGAGTAATCATTCTAATAGAAAATATTTATTGAGTTACATGGGGTTCTAGGTGATCAGCTGTTGTACATTTCCATGCATATATACCATAAGGAAAGAATATATAGAATAGGATTTTTCTTAAGCATGTGCTGGATGAGAGCGTTGAATTTAGTTTGCAGTTAAGGTGTACACTTAAGAACTTCCCTCATCTTGTCTTTTAATGTGTATTATTTATCTTTGTATTCAACTAAAAATTTTAAGCCTGATTCCTAAATACTAGGTAGAAAATCTTAACAATACTGAGAGCTTGTTAGTTGTCATCCAAGTAGATATCTTTATGAGCTCCTCATTAACATGGTTGTTGAGGGCAACTGTATCTGGATTTGATGACAAAAGCTGTGTCATCTGCAAACAGAACTGGTTTATGTTCCTGGGAGGCATTAGGTAGGTCACTGATGCAATAAGAGATAATAAAAGGCCTAGGATGGTGCCCCGTGGTACCTCTAGGTTAATAGGTAAAGCTGACGAAGTACTGCCGAGATAACTCAAGATTTCTTAAGTTAAAGACATTTTCATCAGGTCTAAGAATCAATCTGAATGAAACTAGAATAATGTACCGAAAGCCCATACTTTTTAATTACAAGAAAACTTACTTGGGAACACTGCTAAATGAGCAAAGTATACCCATGGATAAGTGAAGCAGATTCAAGTGTCCTCTCCCACAGCAGTCCAGCATCATATTACGTGTTTGATCAACGATACAAAGATGAACCTTCGCTGCCTGAGCCACACAGCATCAACACCCACTAGTGAAGACGGCGCACACACCTCCATTATATTTTGTCACTCATCAAGGATAAAATTTGAAGTGACACACACTTGTGTGTCTCCTGACACAAACAATGTGTTACTGATGCTGAGTTGCTATAGCCGACATGATATTTACACTAGCTAACCATCTATTGTCCTGGCGGGCATCAATGAGATCCAAAGTGGTTCTGGGTTTGCTTATACAGGATCACAAGGCATTTATATCCCAGCCAACACCATCTTCTGTTTTTTATCCTTTTTGCTCCACCTATAAGCTCCAGTATTTACCTTTGTTTTGTTTACAAGGATGAGACCCAATAGAGATGCTTCGAATTTGGATTTGAATTGGAACTAGCGTAATTAATTGATCATGGTAGAACCGATGGTGGATGAAACATGAACGCCACTAACCTTTATGTGACCACTTGTCGGCTGGTCATGCAGGCCGATCCAGAAAATCGGGATAGTTGGACAGAGCTGTACAAGTTGTTGCCTTACCTTCGTCAGTCCCTTTCCTGTACGGTTTGTGGTAAATTACTTTCTGAGCCATACACACCTACTGAAACAAGCTGTCAACATCATGTCTGTAGAAAGTGTCTTGGTGGAAAGAAGCGCCTAAAGCCCTCTTGTAGTTGGTGTAAAGATTACAGCATGTATGTTGACAATGTTCAAATTAAATTGGTATTACAGTGCTACAGAAAACTTTGTGAATACATTAAGTTCACACCAATTTATTGTAAACTGTGCTCCATATACAGTAATGGGGGTCAGTTTAGTCTCACTGACATGATAGAAGAAGCAATAGATAATACTATTAATAGATGTGATGAAACAAACAGTGTGCGTTGTGAACATGAGAGTGATAGTAAAGAAAGACTTTCAGTACCTCAAACAAGTGGCGCTAATACAGTCGTTACACCCATAAATACCTCCCATTCTGTTCCGAAGCAACCATTGTGGAGACACTCAACGCAAGCTTCTCCGTCACAACAGTCAACACCAACGATAGGTTTAGGTTTGGTACATGTTTCCTCTCAACCTGTAAATTCTACAGCTCCACCAGTTTCATGTCCGCCAACTTCCTTAAGTTCTGTGAAAGCAGTTCTGTCTACTCCACCACCACCGCCGCCACCACCACCACCACCTGTTATGCAAACAACTCATCACTCACCATTGCAACCAGTTGCTACAACTACTACTACTACAACAACCATCAGTGGAACATCTGGATCAAGTTTTGTACCCGGTACAATTTTTCCAAGTACAAATATAGTTAAGCACAGTGTTGTTAAGGAAGTACCTTACCCTAAACATAATTCATCAGTCAATAATGGGTCCTCCATATATTCTGTTATGTATGCTGAAGGTGACAGTACAAAAATAACTATCAAAAGAAAGCCTCCTGATATAGAAAGTTCTAACAAAAGTGTTCCTATTGTACCAGAAACTAATTATTTAAGTCAAGAACTGATAAAAAAGCCTAAACCTAAACCTAAACCAAAACCAAAGCGTAAAGGATGCCGATGTGGTAATGCAACCCCAACACCTGGAAAACTGACTTGTTGTGGGCAGAGATGTCCTTGCTATGTTGAAGCTAAAGCATGCATAGAGTGTCGCTGTAGAGGTTGCCGGAACCCTCATCGGCCTGGTGGGAAAAAAGTACGGCCCGTTATCCCACAATTAGCAAACATCCAGATTCATCAGGTTCAACCAGTGCATGGTCGCAGTACTTCTTCATCCATCACTAATAATACCACGACCACTAGTTCCAGTAACATCATCCCACCTCCCACATCAACAGTCATCACGCATACAACTTTGCCTCAGACTATCAGAGCAGTGCAAGCCATGCATGCTGTGCAAGCTGTGCATGGTGTCAGTAATGTACAAGCAGTGGCTGGTGGAATCCATCAGCTTATAAGCCTAGGAGGTGGGATGGTACAAACTCCACTCTCATCAGGGCTTGGCATTAATCCTGTTGCGAGCCTAGCTGTGAAACCTGTTAGTCTGGCTCTCACATCTGTGCCAGCACAACTTTTGATCAATGATGACAGATCAACCTCTAATAGTACTTCAGATGACAGTGATGTAGATGTGGACATATAGCACAGGTAGAGAATATTTGGAAGTTATTTTCAGAATGTTCACAATTTGTGTGTAAAGTGAGAACTGGAAAAATATTTTTATGAATGTTTTTTAATTAAATTTGTTAACGTGACATGAAAAATTATTTGTTAAAAATAAGCAAACAACTGTATACAAATATTATGGAATATTTTAAAATTTTGCTATTTTACTGCTAATCTATATTTTTAATTCTTCACCATCTCTTACCTGTCAGTATTTTATTCTACATTCCTTACTTTGAGGCAATTTACAGTTTTAGGATATTTCAGTCAGTATGATTAAGCCTGTTATGCTGGGTATTTTGAGGCTTATTTTAGTGAATATTTCTGATTTGTAAGACCTACAATTATGTTGCAATTGTAACTTTAAAAAACACATTAAGTATACTCTAATGTATAATTACAACTGGTGAGGCCTAAAGTTATCTGGTTTAAAACTAAAGAAGAAATGCTTTTAGAGGAACAATTTAGCCTGAGTTCCAGTGAAAAAATTGCCCGGTTATTATTATTATTATTTTTTTAGAAAACTTGTATTGGGTAGGTAATTTTATATACAGTATATATGATACATTGATCAGGCAGAAGAAGGTATGGTGATACAGATTATCTCTCGAGTATCTCAGGTTTTCTGAATTCAATCCTAAACTTATTTTTTTTTTTCCGTCTCTTCATGTTTGTGAATATAATAAGAGCAGTTTTAATCTTCAGTTTATTTAGTTTGCAAATACTACTTGTTTCTCAAATTATTTTTATATTTTATTTATGAAGCAGTTTTGTTAAACTATTAATTACCATTGGAGAACCTGTATTTGAATAAATGTTACTTGTGATTCCGTTCAATTTCATAGCCTATTACAACACATTGTGAGGATGCCAAAGGCAGATCGCAGCATCATGTAGGCTAATGTATAAAGACTCAGGGTAGTAAGTGCAATCCTGTATGTTAACATAGTTAAATATTTTGTTCTAAGACCAATTTTTGTATGCCCAATTTTGGTTTTTATACAGACCAGGAACTGATGTGCTGCATGTTATAAGTATTTGAAAATTTATATAACATAAACATCCCCCTTTAAGATTACTCATTACAGTGTAGTATCAATTTTTTTAACTACAGTAAATGTCTAAGGACTTACATCATTTCTCAAATGATTGTTTCCAGGTCACTGGATATGTATTTACATTGTGAATCCATTTAAATCATTAAATTGCATCACTAAAATAGTTTTTTGTGGTGTCAGCAAGAAGCAAAACATTGGATTATTTGCAGCTATTCTGGATAACTTGTTAATACTGTATTTGTCAAGATGCTCAAGGTAATAGATTGTTAAAATTTAGCTTCAAACATACTTATTGGCTACATAATAAAATATGTAATACGTACAGTATACTATACGTATGGCAATGTATAATGTTGTTTATATTGTTATGAGGTTAACAATGGCACTTGAAACTAAACCCTGAAATGACTTATTTGTAATGTAACATGTCTACCTAAATGAAGCGTTTGTTTCTAGTGCTCTATCCATTACAGCTGAGCTGGGCCCAGGCATGGGAAAAATACAGCACATCCATATTTTTTATGTTTAAAATATGATGTTGGCTTTCAATTGTATTTTTCTATACTGTATAGACAATCAGTGTTAAACTAGAAGTTTGGTTAAGGAAATTAAGGTAATCCGCTTATCTTTGCTTGTTCATACCTGATTCATGAATGCAATAAGCGAAAACTACTGTAATTTCAAATTAGTGAAAAGTTAGTGGCTCATTTGTAGAAATAAGATGCAGTATAATATTTAGAAAAATTATGTATGCAGTATTTCCTTGATATCAGAAATCTTTATATGTGATCAATTAGTTGCCCTGTGTTACGTCTGGATGTATTTTTAAAAAATGAAATATTATTTATTTTGTTCTATATATTCAATATAGGGGTGTATTTTTTAAATTATTTTCACCTGCCATGTCACAATTTGGCTTGTTTCTGAACAGCAATTGAAAATATCCCAACACAGGTTAAATTATTAAAACTCCACAACTGACATTGTTTTAGATACTGTGTTTCTTGGCATGGTAACTATGACAAAATATAAGATGACAAAAAGGAGCAATTGTATTTTATGCTCAGAATAGAGTAATATTGTTAGAAGCAGCATTTAAGAAGCATGTGTATGTTACCACATTTTAATCTTGAAAATTAAGTTGCATGAACATGTCATCTGTTAGTAAAACTGGGATACAGTCACAAAAAAAAAATAATATTCCACCTCCAGCTTAGTAAATTTGTACAGTGATATATGTAATTTAAGCCCAAGAATATTAAAAAATGAGAATGTTGAGACTTTGATGACAAAAGTTTACCCCAAGGTGCCTCCTGCCCTTTACACAGTTAATCTTCAGCTCTACCAATTGATATAAATAGGGGCATCTGCCCCACTATATATTATAATAAATTTCTCCATATTTGTTTTTATAATGTTTTTGTCATTAAAATATAATTTTACAGGTTATTTGCCTCTGCTTTGTCTTTGAACCACCTTAAAATTGTATTTTAATGATGAATCAGATGTGAAATTAATATAGCTATATGTATATTATTATTATTATTATTATTATTATTATTATTCAGTCTTATGGAGATCACTAAAATATATTAAATATTTTTAATTACAGACAAGCATAATATGAATGAACAAAATACTATATGAATTATGTAAGAAAAGCTTTTTAATTAACAATGAGGTAAAATTAGGCTTTAAAGGGGAAGTTATTTTCTCAGGAATAACACTTATACATGCAAGATGTTTAAACTTGAAACTTGGCATCATGTGGCATATGCAGTGTAAATACTGTATACAGTTATCTACCAAGCTCTGGTCCACTCATTATTGGAAGTAAAAAAGACACTATATTTGCAAGGAAACCTTTTTTTATGACATTTTTACCATGATGGTTTTATCATTTATACCAAAGTCCATTCCTGGATGAAAAGTTGTAATAAAGATTTCCGTACAAACGTGGTGTCTTTCCCACTACCTGTCGGCTTATGCCATAGTTTAACCACTCATTAAAAGTATACTGTTCAATCCTTAAAGGCCACTCAGACTATGTAAGCAAAGCCTTATAGCAAGGGTACAGATGGACCTCTCAGATTTTGTTCACATTGTTACATCAGGGCACAAGTTGGCCAGTAGTATTAAGCACTTAATCTGGAGTATGGAATAAATACAATAAAATAAAATCTTACCTTCCATAATCAAGTGCTATTTATGTGATATTCATAATATATTTTCCTGAATATTGTAGGAGCAGTATTGTTCTGATATCCATGAAATCTGTATTTGACATTATAACGAGCAAGTTAAAACGCCAAAGGCAGAGTTTAGGACTCATGATAAAAAAAAAATCAGGAATTTTTTGTCATAGTTGTGCTGTTATTCAGTTCCTGTCTTGAATTTCAGCACTTGTGATACTGCACTACAGGAAATTGGAAAAGATGATGGTTCATCGCTGTAGAATGTACAAATTAGTGTATTACAGGTATAATTATGTACAGTTTGGAGATTCTAAGAATTGTCCAGTAGCAAAGATAAATCCCACCTCTCATCCAGCTGTTTACAGCCAATGTGGTTACTTACAAGATATATTTTATTTCGCAACTCGATGCAGCAGTCTTGGAGATAATCCTGTACACATAGGAAATGACTTCTCAAATAAATTTTATTAATGTATATTTTTTGTATGCTTACCTTTATCATAGCTTGCATGTGTGTGTGTGTGTGTACACTCACCTATTTTGTCTATTTGTGGTTGCAGAGGTTGAGTCATAGCTCCTGGCCTCACCTTTTCACTGGTCATTACTAATGACCAATGAAGAGGTTAAGTCTCACACACACATTATTCATCATACATACTGGTTGCTACTAGCGACCAGTGTATGTTATTATCCATCATACACATTAGTCACTACTAACGACCAGTGTGTATGATGGATAATAACAAAATATAAATATATACAGGCAAGCACCCACTTATACAGCAGGTTAGGCTCCTGGCTACTGCTTTAAAGTGAAACATAGTCTTTTTTACTTTCAAATACTACATATAAGAGCAGGAAATATACACAGTCTCTGCCATTTCCTATTTCATACATCTGTTAAACAAAAGTACCAACCATTCCAAATCTATATCCCCACCTGCTTTTAACATTGCTGTATTGATTCTATCAATCCAATGTCTTTACCCCTTTTCATTACACCCACAGCCTCACACCACCACTACTCACATCTGGCTCTTCCTCACTCCTAAAGGATGTTATACCCTGTACCTCCCTGGTCAGTGCATGAAATCACTGCCTCCTTTTCTTTAACATCATTTAATAGCTCCTCATAATATTCCTGCCAATACCTCCAACTCCCCATCTAATTACTGCCTTCTTCTGTCTTTAACTGTCAAATCCATTCATTCCCTAGGCTTTCTCAACTCCAAAACTTTTTCTTGTTCTCCACAATTATTATAATCAAAAAGAAGTGCTAAGCCACAAGGGCTATACAGCGCTGCAGGGTAGGGAAGGAAGCGAGGGTATTGGATGGCAGAAGGGAGGAGGGATGATCAGTAGGTTACAGAAAACAGCGGGGCAGGGGATAGTACGGGGGTAGAGGGTAGCAAGAGATTGAAGTAGAAAGGGCTGAAGGTATCAGAATTTGTGAAGTAAGTCAGTTGTTGTCAAAAAGTCAATGAGAGAGTCTGGATGAAAGGTGGGTCCATCAGCGAGAAGGGAAGGTAAAGAGAGAGCAGCAGAGCGAAGACGACGACAATTCTGCGTGCTCGTTGATAAAGTGGGCAGTCCAACAGAATGTGGCGACTGATAAGGAACTTTGCAATTCTCACAGAGAGGAGCAGGGCGCCTCTCCATGAGATATCCATGAGTAAGACGAGTATGGCCAATGCGAAGACGGGAGAGAGTAGTCTCCCAACCTCGACACTGGTGATAAGAAGACGGCCAGTAACCTATACTGGGTTTAATAATTGAAGTTTGTTGCCAAGCATAGTAGACCAACGTTGTTGCCAACGGGGGTGAAGTTGGGAAGATATTGCAGCAAAATAGTCCGTAAAAGGAATACCTCTACATGAAACTGGTAGGTCATGTACTGCTGACCGCGCAGCAGTGTCCCGCCTGTTCATTGCCCTGTATGTCAACATGACCCGGAACCCAACAAAAAAAAATATCTTATGTGGTAAAGTGCGGGGTGCAAAGTTGGATACGGAGGACTAGGGGTGAGGTGAAACAAATTTCTGTATAGCCTTGTAAAGCACTAGGGGGTCTGAGACAACCACAAAATGATGACACAGGCATAGATTGCAATACGGTAATTTCTGTAAGGATGGCATACCCAAATTTAGCAGTAAAAAATACTAGCCGAAGAATAGTAAATGGGCCCTTGTACGACGCTGTCCCGGGAAAAACTGCTGCGAATCCCCACGCCGTCAGAAGACTTAGAGCCATCGTGTAACACAGCAATGGCATGAGAATGAGAGTGAAAAGTGGTCAAGAAAAAGAGAGCGGGAAGCGACCGTAGACAGTTGAGCTTTCGAGCAAGGGAGAGAGAAAGAAAAAGACTCGAACAGCTGGAACTTCCCAGGGGGTAAGGAAAAGTGAGATGCTACATGTACATAGAAAGGTGGTAATTGTAGAGAAGACAAGAGCGAATGAAGGCGAAGAGAGAAGGGACAAGTAAAACAGGGGCGGGGGAACAAATAAAGAATGTCTACTAATATCAGTGACCATTCTATAAATGGAAGGATTGCGGAGATCGTGAGAGCCTACATAGTA